GGGTCAATAATGACAGCATTCCAGGACTTGGGGCCCCACCCTCACCAACCTGACCATGCTCAGGATGGTCAATGCAGAATGCCAAGGATTAGTTCTACCTTCTGACTGTGTGACTCCCCAGTGAGTAAACCAAATGGCTGCCTCTCTTTTGGAATCTTCAAGGGCTTTTTTGTAAGAAGCAATGTAGGTTATAAAAGAACCAAAGATGTGCCAACTACCATAGGGAAGAAAGAGCCAAACAATGGTATATGGTACTGTAATTTAAAATACTTTGGAATTTCTGGCAAATGTCCATGGTTCCTTGATCTAGTGGTGGCTCTTGCTATCACATGTTGATACACTACACATTGCTGGGTATTCCTATATAAGTTCCCAGTGGTCTCTCTACACTCCCAGGGACAAATCTTTCACCCGTAAACAAATTCAACAGTAGACCAAGTCATACTTTGTTCTAGGGCTTTATTCATTTTGAATAGAAATTCAAGTTCATTCAAATTCTATTCCCTGGTAACTATCAAAATCAATTACTTCCTTTGAGTCCCTCAAAACTTATTAACTGAAGTAGATTTACTTTGGAAGACCAAAGGCCAAGTAGTAGATGATGCCACACAGGGGGATTAGCAAAAATGGTAACTATACTCCAAGGCATTCCTTTAATCCAAAATTCGGCATTTATTCTGGATAGCATGGCCTGCCACTTAAAACATGCAATTTGGTTGTTACTTTGGGGCATGGCTCTTGACTAACATTTGATATGCTTTTCTTTTATTTAGAAGGGCCTATTGAGTCCACATGTCAGTGACATTCAGGTTCATTAAGGCTGGGGGTGATGACTGCCTTTTACAAAAGCCATGTTTTTTGGATGTATCTTAGAGATTTCATAGTTATTTCTCAAAAATCATACAAAGAAAGAACCAGAAAAGGAAAACTTTATACTCCTCCACTGCCCACTTTCAACCAAAAAATGGCCTAATGCTCTCAGAGAGAAAATGCTTATTTAGCTTTCATAGTTTTGTGGCT